CAACTTTTCAGTATCAGATTGGGATAATGATTTACGAATACGATTAATATTTCTTAGATGGGAATATCCAGATCTACAAATAGTAGAAATGTGTGTTTCCATAGATAGCTGCGAATCAAACAAGACACCTAAGTTTCTAGCACTTGACGAAGCACTAACCAATTCTTCACCAATTGCGATACTAGACAAAGGACACGAGTCTTGTGAGAATCTCCGAGACGACATGCACACAAATTCAGTTTTCGACACATTCACAAGTAGGAAATTACAAGACATCCAATCGCTAACATCTTGAATACATGTCTGAAGTATCATCCGGGCGCGAATTTGATCATCTTCAGAAACCGATAAATAAATCTGTGTGTCATCGGCGTAAAAATGATATTTTACGCCGTGACGTCGCAATAACTCGCCCAATGGACGCATGTACATTGAGAACAATAATGGCCCTAAGACGGAGCCCTGTGGAACACCGGTTTCTAATATAGACGTCATAACATCTTTGTAAACACAAAATTGAAAGTTGTATGAATTCACCATGAGATTTATTTTCAAATTTAATTTTTATTCAGTTTCAGTTATGTATGATTTTTCTCTTTTCATGACGTGGTGTGGAATTTTGAAATAAAACAGTTTAATGACGAGAATCAAAATTCCTACTGACGATCTAGATGGTACATGTTTGGCCATGTATTGTGCAACTTACAAGAAAATATGGTCAAGAACAATTCAGTAAAATGAAAAATTAAATAAATTGTTCGTTGCAGTAAACGACAGAACGTGAATTTTTATCATTCAAAGGCAATTCAAAAACTTAACCCCAGTATCTAACCACCTTTCCCTTGCCAACCTTGATGATTGAGATGAGATGGTTTCAAAATAAAAACGGCAATACGATCTTTTTTTCCCTGGTACATTGTAATTGTTTGTTAAATATTTTCTCCAATGAGTAAGCTGTCGGCCAATATAAAAAGCTAGCTTTGATTTTGCTGTATCTTATACGAGATTGATAGGGCATTGGGGTCAGAGGTCAGATCCTTGTTGGCTTTCACGATAACCAAAACTTTTAAAAAACTGCCAGCAAATAAATAATAAATTAAATTAAATTAAAGTAAAGGAAAATGTATAATAAAAATAAATAATTGAACATAAATTTAAAAAAAAAACCAAAGCTAGGATCTTATTTTAATCAAATTGACTTGCATCACTATTTACTGCCATTCAGTACTACAATATATAAAAGAAATTATTGATAGTTCATCTAGTGAAATATGTAAATATATAGATAACAAGACATGAAATGTCACAACTCCCGTTATTTGTTTATAAAGTAGTACAAAGAACATCTGCAAACAGGTGAATAAATATGTACTTTTTGTGGATACAACTCATCATAAAGTGATTTCTCATAATCTAGTTTTGTACTGACAACTAAAAACTTCCACTGATCCATGTTCAGAGTACACAAGTGCAACAAAACTATTTGTCATACATGTATACTTGCTCAAAAAACTGCATTCATAAATCTGAACCTTGATGTACATGACTTCTTTGTTAATCAGGTCTTAGTATATTACCAGGACCTGAGTTTGTTTCAACATCACCACTGGGCATCAGAATCATTCTCATGTTGTCAAATACAATTTGTTATTAACACAGTAAGGTTTATTATTTAAAATGTATTCATTGTACATAGAACAACATCTGTTAATTTAAACAATTGTAAAAGCTATGTTTTCAGAGCAAGTACATGTAATAATTAAGAAAGCCAGTAGCGATAAAGGTTGGTCTACTCATAACCTTCAATGGAGAAGTAACAATAATTGTTTGAAGTCTTTTTAGT